GAGCGGAACAAGTCCATCGGGAAGCCGGCGCTGGGCGGCCCCTTCTCACTGGTCGACCACAACAACAAACCGGCGACCAGCGAGGACTTCTTCGGCCAGTGGATCCTCATCTACTTCGGGTTCACACACTGCCCCGACATCTGCCCGGACGAGATCGAGAAAATGATCGAAGTAGTGGATGAAATCGGTAACCTGACTTTGCATTTTAGTCCAAACGCTGGTACAGAATCTGAGAATGTCTGAGTTCAGCTAGCGTAAAAGCTGCTGTTTGTTTGGCTCTCCGCAGACAAAATCAAGTCTCTTCCAGACCTGACGCCCATCCTCATCACCATCGATCCGGACAGGGACACCCCAGAGGCCATGGCCACATATGTGAAGGGTACGGAATAAAAAAATATATACTGTGTGTTACATCAACTAAAATAGTGTTTCATTAATGGAGGAAAATCCAGAAAAATGCTAAGAAACGTCCAGATAAACTGCACAGTTCGTTCTTATTCTGTTTGATTTCAGAAGTCGTTCTTTTTCTTTTACGCATTTATTCCTTTTTAGAGTTTTTAGTGACGTTTCGTTTTGGTGTTTTTGTTCTTGAGGGAGAATCAGATCTCAAGTCAAGTAGGCTTTATTGTCAATTTCTTTACATTCGCTGGTCAAACAAAGAATTTAAATTGCGTTTCTTACTTTCCCGTGCAGACATAGACATAGCCTTTAAGTGTGGACATAGACAGTTAGACAAAGACAGTACACATTCATTACACCTAGAGTACCTATACAATACTATACAGACATATAAAGTGCAAGACTGGGCAACAGCAGACATACATTGAACATAAGAAAGAGGTATTGTTGTGCATTTCCAGTTATGTCCTATTTTGAGGATTCTGAAAGTGATAGTAGCATTGTAGATTGTAGATCTGTGGTTAAACCTAAAAACCAATAGAAGTGTGGAGGACGGCTGGACGTAACCGAGTGTTATTGGCCAGTTCGTTCGGTCATGAACAGGCCAGGTCCTAATTCATGCAGGTTTAGGTGGAATGTGATAAGAAAGTGTGGATGTTGACCTTAAAGACGAGTATATACTGTAACAGAGAGAGGAGGAGGAGGCACAGCCAGAGAGTTTAACCCAAAAGTATAATTATAAAGAGAATAATATGAATCTAAAAAGGAATAAGACAATCAGTCATTTACATGGATTAAGTTGTAGCATACTATGCTAACGTGAGTAATCATAGCCCGATTCTAACATGCCGATTGGCCCTTTCAGAGTTTTCTCCAAAGCTGATTGGTCTGACGGGGAAATCGGCCCAGATCGACGAGGTCTCCCGAGCCTACAGGGTCTACTACAGTCAGGGGCCCAAAGACGAGGACAACGACTACATCGTGAGTCCCGACTATTGGCGACTGATCAACAAACTTTTAGGTCGCCGAGCGGCTGATTAGGGGAAACTAACAACCCAGACGCGCTAGATGTTCAAAACGCCAGTCCAAAGGCTTCGTTTTATCGCTTTATTTAATCTTCAGGTTTCCAACATTAAAACACGTCACTGAATCAGTTCATAGGCATCCATAATCCACAAGCGGTAATCCAGAGTGAACATTCACAGCAAACAACTCATTGGCTGCCAAAGACGTCTTTTATGTTTTTCAATGAGAGTGGCTGGGGGACGATCTGCTAAAGCTTGTCCGTAAATATCAGGCTTCTAGACAGAGTATGTAGTAACAAATTGACCCTCTAGGTGGCAGTGCCACTTTTGATGGGAGATGAGCATAGACTGTAGGCAAATAAGAAAAAGCTAACGGTTATATGAGAGAACATGTCGCCAGTGAGACGCAAGTCCAGGAAGAACAGAATAAGGTAGAAACAATTTTTTTTCCTGATGAAAGAAGAGAGTCTACTCTTTCTTTTGGTGTGTTCGGTGTTTACATAGTCATAGCACAAACTATTCTGTGGCTCTTGAAAAATCAGTCAAAATGCTCAAAAAACTCTGGCAGTATGGGACTCTGTTCTGAAAATGGCTGACAGTCAATGAGTTAATTAGATTGCCGTAGAAAATCATCCTATTTCACCTAATTGGTCTAAAAAGATTTTTTGATAAGGAATTAATTATCTGCAAATAATATGCCATTTGTGAGTGTCTGTGCTGTTCTAGTGACTGGTGGAGTAATCATGTAATAATTCCTTATGACTAGATTTTGTATATAATTTTGTATAATGAAGTGGACATGTTAAGTGCAATTTGAAAGAAGAAATATAAGATATGATAAAAATACATTTTTGTGTTTATTTGATTCCTATTCAAGACACTTAATATAAGATAAGAATAACTATCGTGTTACTATAGGCGGCTAAAGATTTGTTTGACATTTTTGGTTGGTTGGTGGTGTGCCTCGTGATTTTTTTCTATGAAAAATGTACCTTGGCTGAAAAAAGGTTGAAAAACACTGCAGTACACCGACCTGCTGCTTTTCTGCCCCGTATCCCTGAAGACCAGTTTATAAAAAACGTCCCTCTGTGTGTCCTCCTCCAGGTGGATCACACCATCATCATGTACCTGGTGGGGCCTGATGGAGAGTTCGTGGAGTACTTCGGACAGAACAAAAGAAGCTCGGAGATCTCCGCCTCCATAGCCGCACACATGAGGAAGTACAAGAAGAAGTGAGCCCCCCCCCCCCCCCCCCCCC